CTTTGGAGACTGTGCTTGGCTCAGGTGGGACAGCAGGAGGAATTTCTTCCTGGAAAGGGTGGTCAGGCCCTGGCAGGGGCTGCCCAGGGAGGTTTGGAGTGCCCAGCCCTGGAGGTGTCCAAGGCAGGCCTGGCCGTGGCACTCAGTGCTCTGGGCTGGGGACAAGGTGGGCATCGGGCACAGGGGGATCCATGGGCTGGGAGGGCTTTTCCAACCTCCCTGACTCGCTGATTCTGGGAGGTTTAGGTTGGATATCAGGTAAAATATCTTCATGGAAAAGGCTGGCACAGCTGCCCAGGGCAGGGGTGGAGTTCCCATCCTTGGAGGGATTCCAAAGCCCTGTGGATGTGGCACTTGGGGACATGGGGCAGTGGTGGCCTTGGCTGTGCTGAGTTGGACTTGATGATCTTGGAGGGCTTTTCCAACCTAAATGATTCTCTGATTGGATGAGGCACAACCACCTTTTGCAACCCAAACTGTTGGGTTTTTTTTTTTCACTTTTCACACAGAAGGAAAATAAGTTTAATTTCCTTTCTGATCTTGGTCCACCACAGAAACCCGTTTCTTCTCCAGTTCCATTTCCAGCTCCCTTTGTTCCCTCATTTACAGACACCTTTATTTGAGCTGCTTGTCACTCGGCCTAAAATCTGCATTTTTGCCCCCCAAACCCCTCCCCTAAGGATTTTTGTAGCAGGAAGTGCAGCCAGGCTTTGTGTTACTGAAACACTTGAGGAGAAACATTTTCCTTCTGCCTTGATCAGCTGAGTTGGTGTCACCCCCTGGCAGCACTCTGGGTGTGTTTTGGGAAGTCATTCCTCCTCAACACTCCGTTTCTCCCACGGGTCTTGCAGGGGAGTGAAATGGGAAGAGGTGGAGACAACGAGGAGCGGAAAATACCTGGAAAGGTTGTGATGAGAGGGTGAAAAAAGCGCCTCAGTTTAACCTGCCTGGCTTTGACAATGGCTTTGTCACTTTGAACTGTGCTTGTGTTGTGAAGAGTGAATTTAAAGCAGGAGATCCCTGTTTAACAGTCACTTTTGCCTCCCTCTGTTTAGACTCCAGGCTGAGTTTAATGACAGAAACACATTTTTATGCCATTTTGCCCCCTGAGGGAGATGAGTTGTCGTGGGAACTGGTGGCTTCTGCTTTGCCACTGCTGCTCCTGACGCGGTGGAGCAGCTCCTGATCTCCATCCTCCTCCAGCATCCCACCCCAAACCAGGTGAAGGCATCACCTCTGGGTTCTGGGGGTGGTGACACCCCCAGATTTGGGTAAAACTGGGTTATGTTTTATGAACCTTGCAGGTTGTGCCAGCAAAACGTGGGCTAGTAAAGGGGTTTTAGGGTCAATTTGGGGTTTTGCACCTCCTCAGATCTCCACCTCTTCCAACATTCCACCCCACTCTGGGTGAAGGCATCAACCTCTGCATTCCAGGGGTTCATGATATCCACAAATCTGGGAAAACTGAGTTCTGAAAAGTTATGCAGGAAGGACTGGCAAAGCTTAGGTCAATAAATGTTTTTATGGTCAGTTTGGGCTTTCCACCTCCTCAGGTCTCCATCTCTTCCAACATTCCACCCCAAACTGGGTGCAGGCATCACCTCTGGCTTCCAAGGATTCATTCCACCCCTAAATTTGGGTAAAACTGGCTTCTGAAAGGTTCTGCAGGGAGGACCAGCTAAACTTGGGCTGATAAATGGTTTTTAGGGTCAGTTTGGGGTTTTACACCTCCTCAGATCTCTATCCTCCAGCATCCCACCCAAACTGGGTGCAGGCATCACCTCTGGGTTCCAGGGCTTGGTGACACCTCCAAGTTTGGGTAAAGCTGGGTTCTCAAAGGTTGTGCCAGCAAAATTTGGGCTAATAAATGATTTTTTAGGACGAATTTGGTGTTTTACACCTTTGCACACTGAGGATGGTGCTGAATGTTGGGTGGTGAAGATCCAGCACCTGCTGACGTTTTGGGCCGTGGAGCTGGGCCTGGTGGTGAGAACCAGGAGATTTCCCATCCCTGGGCTTTCCAGCACTCCCAGACAATTCCTTTGGCACCTGGATTGAGGGAAACATCCGGGGCAGAAGATGTTCTGCATAAACATTTCAGGGTGAGCAAATGGAAAATGGTTTCTAATCCATTTTATTGCTGCCTTAACTCGGCCTTTTGTGTTGAAAATTGATCTGCCATCGGTTTTTGGTCCCTCCTGGGTGTTTTAAGAATGTTGATTGTTTTTCCCTGATTTTCCATTTGATCCTGCACATTTGCTGAGCTGATCCCTTGAATTCTTGAGTGTGTTTCTGTTATTTTAATGAATAATGTGACTTTTCTTTATACTTCGTCTGTTCTTAAACATCTTCTTGGGGTCACAGCCCAAGATTTTAGACCTGGATTTTTGACTTAGGTTGACTCTTCACTCCTCTTGACCCTTTAATTTGTTGTAACTTCCCGTTTTGGGGTCACCCCCAGAGTCCAGCCCTGCTCTGACCGGTGTGTTTTGGGCCCAAGTGATCAAAGCACCCAAGTTCTTCTGCAGGACTGCTTTGCTTGGAGCTTTGTGGTGTCAGTGCTGATTTTCCCTGTAATTAATAACCACCATTCTTCTCTCCTGGAAGATAAAAGGAAGTTGTGGGGGGGTTTTTTTCCCCAATGTGTTACAGCAATAAACTGGAAAATAGCAATTTCTTTGTAATCTCTGGCTCAGAACGAGGGTTCTCACGTCCTGCCTGTTCACAGTTCCTGTCACTGCCTGCTCGGAGTTAGAGGAGGGAAAAATTGTGCTTTTCCCTGCCAGGCTGCTCGAGTGGGAGTGTGTGTGGGATCAGCTGGCCCTTTGTCAGTCTGAAGCCATTCCCTGTGTCCTGTCCCTCCATCCCTTGTCCCCAGCCTAATATGTATATTATATATTTTTTAAATGTATATTATATTATCACAAATAAGCTATTTGCTTCAATTGCCTCACTTTTCTCTAATAATACATATATTTTAAAGCTGAAAAGGCTACTTTTGTTGGCAGCCAAACACCATCCTGTAAAAATTCCTTATAATAAAGAGAAGATAAATAGGTTATTATTCATTCAGATAGCATCTTAAAATTAGTACATTTTAATACATGAATAAACTTCAATGAATGTATTTTATGTTACTATGTTTTGTTAATATTGACATATTTTATAATATAATTTGTATTTTATTATATGAAATACAGAAATATAAAAGTAATACAAAACAGATACAACTCTGGGCAGTATCTAAATCAACTCTGCTGTATTTTGGTGTCAATTCTATGACATCACCAGTTCCACAGATACTGGCAATTCTTACACCATGGTATTTAATTTATATATTCCTTGGATAGGGCAGCCCATTTCCAATGGAAACTTTTTGTGGGAGAGGAAGGGAAGGAAGAAAATTCCCGGCTATTCATTTACTCCTTTGGAAAAAAAAAAAATCAAAGCTGGTTTTAAAATTGTGAAATAAAACTCACAAGAGGTTCTGGGACCACCTGGAATTTATCTTAAATTGCTTTTCAAGCAGCTGAAATGGAGAGGCTGAAAGTGCTGGATCTGAAATGATCCGGCAGCACATTCCTAGGGATGATCCCCAAATCCCTGGAGCCAGGAGTTTGGACCAGAATTCCAGACAGATTGGGACTGGTAAATGTAGCAGTGCTAATGGTGGTGCTGTCCCCAGGGAGCCCAAAGGTTGGAGGTGTGGGATTTGGTGGAGCTGCTCATCCCAGAGCAGCAGAACTTTATGGATCTCACAGGGCAGGAAAAAGGGGGATGTTTTTGGGAAGTGTTGTTTGCTGTGGCTTGGCCTCTGAAGGCCAAACCTACTCTGGTTTCAATGGGAGGAGAATTCTCACGGGTTTTGCATCTCAGATCCTTTTGTAGCTGAGCCCTCTGGGCCAGGAGAAGTTCCTGAGGAGAGGAAGGTTGGCCCCTTGTGGGTTTGTGCGGGTTTTGGGATCTGGATTCCACTCAGGACCCAGAACTGGTGGAATTCCAGGTTGCCCAGAGAGGTGTGGACTCCTCATCCCCATTCCAGGCCAGGTTGGACAGGGCTTGGAGCAAGCTGGGCTGGTGGAAGGTGTCCCTGCCCATGGGACAGTGAGATGAGCTTTAGGGTCCTTTCCAACCTTCCATCATTCCATGATGACTCCAGCATCTCTTTACTCTGGGGGATAATCCCCCTCCAGCCAAGCCAACCTTTAGGGCCACCTTGGTGGCCACCAAGGGTCACCCTGCTCAGCCATGGGACCTTCCTTCCCACGGGACAGGGTTGGAAGCAGAGCATGTCCAGCTCAGGCTTGTCTGGGCATGGAGACAGAGACTTGTGCTGTGGTGGGAGTGGGGGAATCACCACCCCTGGGAGTGCTGATGAGGTGTAATTTTATTGATGAGGTGTAATTTTGTAATTCCTGTGGTTGGACTGGATGATCTTGGAGGTCTTTTCCCACCTTAAGGATTCCGTGATTGGGAAAGTTCCGATGTGGAACTGAACGTCCCTTGTCCTGGTCACTGACCTGGTGTGAACTGAAAGAGGAGGAGGAACCTGGGAAGTTCTCTGGGAGGTCTGGAGCGTTTTGTGAGATGGTTTAGCCCACAGAGTCCTGCAGGAGTGTTATCCATGTGTTATCCATGTGCATGTCCACCTCTCTTGGTCACAGTGAGGGCTGTTACTGGCATTTTTTATGGGTTTGGAATTAAAAGTCTCCCTTTAAAAGGTCTTTGGGAAATATTTCCCAGCGTGAAGGGAACTGTGATCGCTGTAAATGACACTGAAACACCTCAAATCATGTATTTCAAGCAATATTTGTTCATAGTTTGGTGCAGTTTCAAGCAACTGAGCATTTGACTCCTTAAAATTTATGTTTTCGGAGGTGTTTCCATCAAAAGTGGTTTTAAAAGAGTGCTCAGTTTGGTGGAGAGATCCACGAGACCTCCACCCTCCCCTCTCCTACAGGTCTCAGGTAAATAACACTGTTTTCTGGTGCTTTGCTCAGATCAGGTGGACCAAAACAGCAGGAAGTGCCTCTGACAGATTCCAAGACTCGAGTGTCTTCAACGAAACCCTGCGGATTTCCAACATCCAGAGACACCAGGGGGGCCGTTACTACTGCAAGGCCGAGAACGGCCTGGGCTCTCCCGCCATCAAATCCATCCGAGTGGACGTGTACTGTGAGTAAATCCTCGGCAATTCTCCCTTCCTGGGTTTTGTTGTTGTTGTTGTTGTTGTTTCACTTGACTTGTGGGGTCACAAGGAGGGAGCGGCTCTCCAGGAGTCCGATTTCCAGCGTTTTTAAGGTGGATTCTTGAGGCTTTGGGGAATATTTATGGGAAGTTTGGTGGGGCTGCTCCTGCAGGGAAACATCTTTAAATGAGTGACAATATTTTGGTAAGAGCAGATGGAACTCGGGTACGACCTGACCTGCTGAGAAATCAGTGGAGGATCCGTCACAGGGGGAAGATCTGCCATGGACTACTGGGTTGCAGTGAAAAATGTGGAGGGTTGGAATCGCAGTGGAAAATATGGAATGTTGGGATCACAGTGAGAAATATGAAGGGTTGGGATTGTTGAGAAAAATGTGGAGTGTTGGGATCACAGTGAAAAATATGGAGGGTTGGGATTACAGTGGAAAATATGGAATGTTAGGATCACAGTGGAAAATATGAAGGGTTGGGATTGTTGAGAAAAATGTGGAGTGTTGGGATCACAGTGAAAAATATGGAGGGTTGGGAGTGTGGCAAAAAATGAGATCACAGTGAGAAATATGGAGTATTGGGATTGTGGTGAAAAACGTGGAGTATTGGGATTGTGATGAAAAACGTGGAGTATTGGGATTGCAGGGAAAATCTGGAGTATTGTGTTGCAGCGAGAAATATGGAATGTTGGGTTCCAGTGAAAAATATGGAGTATTGGGATTGGAGTGAAAAATGTGGAGTGTTGGGATTGGAGTGAAGAATGTGGAGTATTGGGATTATGGCAAAAAACGGGCTCACAGTGAGAAGTATGGAGTATTGGGATGGTGGTTAAAAAAAAGGGGTATTGGGATTGCAGTGAAAAATATGGAGTATTGGAATGGTGGATAAAAAAAGGGGTATTGGGATTGCAGTGAAAAATATGGAAGATTGGGATTGTGTTGAAAAATGTGGAGTATTGGGATTGCAGGGAAAATATGGAGGATTGGGATTGCAGTAAAAAATATGGAGTAATGGGATTGTGATAAAAAATATGGAGTATTGTGATTGTGGTAAAATGTGGAGTATTGGGATTGTGGTAAAAAATAAGAAGGATTTGGAAAGCAGTGAAAAATATGGAGTATTGGGATTGCAGTGAAAAATATGGAATGTTGGGTTGCAGTGAAAATTATGGAGTATTTGGATTGTGGCAAAAAATGGGATCACAGTGAGAAATAAGGAGTATTGAGATTGTGTTAAAAATATGGAGTATTGGGTTGCAGTGAAAAATATGAGGGATTGGGATTGCAGTGAAAAATAAGGAATATTGGGATTGTGATGAAAAATGTGGAGCATTGGAATTGCAGTGAAAAATAGGAAGTATTAGGACTGTAGTGAAAAATATGAAGAATCTGGATTGCAGATCGGGCACCAGAGCTGACAGAAAAAGAAAGCATTGAAAACCTTCTGCAATAAATGCACGAACTGGAATTAAAAAGGAAATAAATTCTGACTGCAGAGATTGCCCTCTCAGGTGGATTTCAGGGTGTGGATTGATTTAGAGACAATTTCTGTGGCTTGGTTCTGGGATTGGAATTCCCCCAGTTGGTTTTTGGGGGTTTCTCTTGCCTGATGGGTGTGTTTGGCTTTCACGATTTGCCTGAAAAGCGATAAAAGAGCAGAAAAGCGGGAAATCTTTTAGGAATAATGAGTGGATCAGGTGGTGATTGTTAATTAGCTTGTTCTTGGAGTCCCATCCATGAATTTTAAAGAGTCCATCTGGGCCAAGCAGGGTTTGGAATGGAGTGATGTCTTCAAACTGAGAGAGGGCAGGGTTAGGTGGGATTTTGGGAAGGAATTCCTGGCTGGGAGGGTGGGGAGGGGCTGGGATGGAATTCCCAGAGAAGCTGTGGCTGCCCCTGGATCCCTGGGAGTGTCCAAGGCTGGCTTGGGATCCCTGGGCTAATGGAAGGTGGGGCAAGGAGGTGGGACTGGATGATCCTTAAAGTCCAAGCCAACCATCCTGTGATTCCATAGTGCCCCAAAACCACTTCCTTCTCCCCTCAGCATTCCCATATTAGATCCTCCTCCATCCCTGATTTCAGGCCTGGCTGGGCTGTTGGCAGCAAAGGCAGCAGAACCAGTCTCCAAGACAGGAAGGGCAGGGAATGCAGGTTCTGAAATGTAGATTCTCCTCGAATTTCCCTGAGTTTTCCTTCTGGAACATCCCTTTTCCCTCCTATTTTGCTCAGCTCTAATTTGCTGTCTGGGATTTCTTCCAGGATTACAATTCTGCTTTTTCCATCACGTTTTGCTCCTTAATGTGCCTCAAACACAGCCCAGGTCTTTGTGGAAAAAGATGGAAAAAACCCAAACCCTGGAGCTCCCAGGAAAACTCCCAAGAAATCAAAATATTCAAAACTGGAATTTCTAAGTAGATTTAGGGAATTTTGTCCTCTTTTGTCCTTTTTTTTTTTGGAATCTTCAGGTTTAATTTCTATTAATTTCTGTTTATTGAATATTTGCTCTGTAAATCCCATGTTGTGTGTCCATGGCAAGAACTCTGAGCAGGAATTTTGGGAGGGATTTGGAGTCTCTTTTGCTCAGAGACTCCAAAACAAAAAAAAGCATCCAAAGCCCTAAACCAACATTTTGTCTCTAATTGTGGTTTGTTTGTTTTACTGAACATTTATTGAGCGAAATTCCCTGGAAAAAGGCAGTTTTCTTCCAGAATTAGGCAACTGTCAAAAACAAATCTGTGGCAAACAGATGATGCTCCCTTTTGAAATTAAAACTATCATTGCAGCAGGGAAGAAATGGTTTGATTTCTTTGGAGGAAACTCTCTACTGCGTTTTAAGAAACAAGCAAAATATTTCTGTTTCTTAAAATATATGTTTTTAAAAAATCCAATTGGAAGCATCTTGGCTGGTAAAGATCAAGAGAAAAAACAATATCAGAGTTGTTTTCCCTGTTAGGTTTGGATCAAGAGCACTATCTAAGGCCTAGAGGAAAATTTCAGCCTCCAGTTTAAAATTTGAAAAGGAATTATTGAAAGAAAAATCCACAGAAAAAATATATATTTTTTTTTTATCCTTTATTCATCCCCATTATTGACTTCCTGGCTGGTTGGGACGATTTAACAGCAACACATGGCCGGGAAATCTCCTTCTCCAGCAGTTTCCTGTTTTTCATTCTCCACTCAGCTCTGGCTTTTGGCACCTGGAGCCACATTTGCTGCTCCTGCAAGGATTAATTTTACAAAGACGGGCAGGGAAGGAGCCAGAGAGTCGGGCTGTGAGGGGAGAGGGGGCACTTACATCACTTGTAAGGACTTCCTGCAGATTCTGTGACTTGTTGCATCTCCCAGAAAGAAGATTTACAGTCAGGATTCAGGATTTAAAGAAACCTGGCTGGGGCAGGGCAGCAGTGCCTGCTCTGCTAGCTGCGTTTTGGGTTGGGACATTAAAGAGAGAATTTCACTCCTGTGAAAATCCCCTCCCTGTTTTACACCCCGAGCTGGTTCGTGGCTGGAACCATGCACAGGAGGTGGGTGCTGGGTCTCAGCAAGATCCAGATGGAATCTTCTCTCAGCATCTGGGAGCAAATCATGCCAGTGTTGGTCAACAGATGCATCTTATTCCTTCATCTCTGCAAGTTCAGCTTGGTGTTATTTCCATGCACCCTGTAATTCTGATTAACCACTTCCCTAAAACTGCCTGGGTTTAGTCTGATTTGTATGATACTTGTGTTTTTTACCTGCTCTAAGAAGTTAAACAAACCCACATTTTAGACCACACTGATGGGTGAGGAGCACAGGCAAGGATTAAACTGAACACATGCAATCCTTTTAGAAATCCTCAGCTGGACTGAAAGGGGGAAAAAAAAAAGCAATTTGGGAAGATTCCTTGTGGTTCCTTTCCAGCTCAGGATATTTTGGGATTCCAGGAATGAGGGGTTCAGGTTGTTCACAGTCATTTACTGGCTTGACATCAGACATTCATTCCCTAGAGATGGGTAAATCAGAGAGCTCAAGGAAAATCCTTCAGGTGCAGCATTCCCATCAAGCTCCATTTCATCCTGACACTGGCTGTAGGGATGCTTCAAGGGGCAGAGAGGATTCTGCTGGAATTCTGGAATGTGAGGGAGGTGGTGCTGTACCAGCTGCATCCAAAGCTCTCCTGGGCTGTGCTGAACCAGGCTGCAAACTCCTCTGATCCTGGAGCAGATACAGAGCCAGGACAAGCCTGGGAAAATTTGAGGGTTGGGGTCAAAATACCTGAAGGTGGAAACTGGGAAGAGAAGAAAAAGAACTGGTGGTTCAGCGGTTCAGTTCTTGTCCCATCAACAGCTGCTCTTGGAAAGGTTCTTATGGAAAGATTCTTATGGAATCAGGGAGTGGTTTGGGTTGGGAGGGACCTTAAAGCCCACCCAAGTTCCAACCACTACCGTGGGCAGGGACACCTTCCACCAGCCCAGGGTGCTCCAACCTAGCCTGGGACACTTCCAGGGATCCAGGGGCAGCCACAGCTTCTCTGGGAATTCCATCCCAGCCTCTCCCCACCCTCCCAGCCAGCAATTCCTTCCCAATCTCCCATCTCTCCCTGCCCTCTGGCAGTGGGAAGCCATTCCTTGTGTCCTGTCCCTCCATCCCTGGGATCTTTTCACCTCATCCCTTTGCTTTCTTTTTTTCATTTCTTTTTGGAAAGATCCTTTTGCTCTCAGGGGTGTCTGGACTGTGGTAAATGAATTAGTGATGATTTTTTTTACAGCAGACAGCTTTCTGTCCTTATTTCCTGTGCCTAAAACGTGTTCTGCTCCCCCAGCTCTGGCTGACAGTCCTTGTTCCTCACATCAGGTTCAAACAAACGCCCTCATTTCCCTTGGAATGGCATTCCCAGGAGGGAGGGTTCCATCCTCGCTGAGCCACCAGCACAAGGAACTGCTTCATAAATCCGAGCTGAATTCATCCCAGACTTGAACTCTGTTTCTTTTCTCTGGA